CTATTGAACATATAGAAATTAGGGACAGAACAATGGTTATACTCCATTCTCCTTTCCAGATTTTCAATTGTGGGCATAGCTGGATATTTCCACAGCATTTCCTTATCCATTATGTTTATATGTACACACCAATTGTCTGTCTCTTTCAGAACTCTTGATTTTATACAATCAGTTTGCAGAGATTGTGAGAGAGGACATAGGTTTCCAAGATGGTTTAGCTCCAACCCAGTGTTATCTTGGCTTACTTACAGGTCACTGTGTTCCTTTAGAAACTGTGAGCATCAGATAAAATTATCTACTCTCTGCTATTTTCCTGATGGCTAGCTGTGGGCTGAAAACCTAAGACAGCTCTGTTCTTGCTAGTAGTTGTTGTTGACATTTAAATTTATCTTCTCCCTTTGAACATGTGACCAAATTGGAGGCTGAAATTGCTTGTCTCATGATAAGTGATCATGAAACCAGAGCTTTCCAAATGCCTTTCACTAGAGAACTTCTTGGAAAGCACAAATGTTATGACAAAAAGAACTTCCATCAGCGAGATCTCATTGTTTTCAACCATATTTTTGTATAAGTCTACATGGTAATGACCTAAAGCTACTTAAAAGCAGCCTGAGTAAGCCTGGGAATAAAGTAAGCTTTTCTCAGATTTGGATTTATTTTCTTATTGGAAACCTTAACAGAAATATACTGTCCCTGTTAGCCAGCAGTAAACTCCAATCTTGAGGCTACATAATCAGATTTAATAAATCACAACCTCAATCTCAAATGTGAAAATGTTGGCCTTGTTGCAGGATGGCCTGTGTCAGCAAAGGGTAAGAGATATATTGCTTATATCTTTATACATCAATAAATTAACTAATAAATAATCTCTTTTGGTTTTTGTTGGTCAAAGAATCTGAGACTCTTGGTAGGATGAAACCAGTTTTTATCATTAGATCTTTCCAAAATGAAGGATTTATAAACATTTTATTACCACTGTTGCTTTGGAAAACCCTTATTGATATCTCATCCTGCTTGGTAGTGTCAAGAGTCAAATTGCAGGTTTGACAGCTCCCTAACATTATTTCACAATATAAGGTTGTAGAGAGGCCTCCACAATCATCTCTTTTTTTTCTTTATTTCCATTTGTTTAAAAAAAAAAACTTGCCTAAGGAAAAGTTTATGAAACTTTAAACCTGAAATTATTGTTTACAACTTTGGTTCACTAATACAATAAAAGTATTGCCTATATATATATTTCTATTTCTCTATCTCTGTCTGTCTGTCTGTCTGTCTGTCTGTCTGCCTGCCTATCTATCTATCTATCTATCTATCTATCTATCTATCTATCTATCTATCTATCTATCCCCCTTCCTACCTACCTACCTACCTACCATAACAGAGCTGCTATTGTTCTTATACTTTTTAATAAACATTAGAGAACCCACATGATGGTCACAGGTAAACATTTCTAGTAGAGATGTTAAAAATTGAGTGATTCGACTCTGGAACATGACCAGCCACTCCCTGTTCTGGGTAATACGGTTGAGTAAAGGCAGAAGCCAATTCTTAGAATGTGTAGAATGGGCTGTTCTAGGTGAAAAAACTCCCAGTCAGATTAGGCACATCTCTAATTTTTAGGCAGCTTCCAAACAATGACTCATGAATTCCAAAGGCTCTTTGGAAGCATCTAAGGCAATCAGTTTTATGTTATGGTGGCAAATAGCTAATTTAATATTAATATTTACAGACAGGATATCAACTTTTAAGTCATTATGTTAGATACTAGAAATGTGTGCTTCTAAGAATTCCTAGTTCTGTTTTCTAATTGTTAATTTGATATAGAGTTTGATATAATCAAGAGTTTGATATAATCAAGAGTTTGATATAAGATGGGCAAGTATATTAACATTTTAAATAAACAAACTGTAGAGTCCTTGGTGCTTTCTGAGCTTGGTTGTTTTCTTGCAAATGTTTCATTACCAAACAAGGTAACATCAAGCTTGTTTGTCATCAAACAAACTGTATTTCTTTCCCTGTTGCATGTGAAACGAGTAACCTACAGGGTTGCTTAGAATATTTGTTTCAATGATTAATATGTTTGCAATCTAGATGTTGCTGTAGTATTCATATTGAATGTGTGCTAATTAGCACATATGTGCTAATTACCCCTTCCCCAGGTTAACATCTTTTTTTAAGTCAGCATCCTTCACTGGTACCAAAACATAAGGTTCACAAGAAACTCTGAAGCCAGTTCTGACTTTGTTCTTTAGTAATCCGGATCATTCATATTGTGGAAAAAAGATCCAGCATGTAATACTTGCACTAACCAAATAACTTGGCTATCCTTCAGTTAAGTGCTTGAATATATTTAATATTTCAAATTTATTTTACTCTCAGTACTTTGGCTATAAATATTGTGCTGGCTAATATTAATTGCATCTCACCCAGCCCCCCCCCCTCTTTTTTTTTTAAGATAGCTTCTTGCAAAAATATTCATGTGATCCTTTGGGAGTAAACAAACCACCTATAAGTCCTTAACATTGGCTTGTTGATCATGAATTAGGGGGATGGTGTGGTGTTTTGCTTCCAGGAAACGAAACTGTTCTTGCATGCGAACAAGTGGAACAGTATCTGACACTGAGCAAAGTTAATAAGTTATCTTCCCTGCTGTTAATAATGAAATTTCTTGTAAACATAGCTTTGAGCTCTCTGCTTTCTATCAGCTCTCCCAGAATCCTTTTATTGTAGGTGATTGTTTTTGTTTTGTTTGCATTGGCCTTTCTGTACTTCCCAGGCCTCTGTCTAGTCTACAGTATTGTATTTCTAGACTTTGCCAGTCAGGTGCTATCCTCTTAGTAGAATCTAATTTATTACCTCTAAAAACTAGTTTGACCAGAAATATGTTTCATAGTGAAATAGAAAATAGAAGTCATTTTTACTATGTAGATCAGTGACTGTGACATTCCTCATCCTGGTTCAGGGGGGCTGAGCCAAATGATCACATATGAAATATTATTATTATTATTATTATTATTATTATTATTATTATTAATTGAATTTCTATACTGCCCTTCTCCCGAAGGACTCAGGGTGGTGAACAGAATAAGATTTCATATACATATAATTTTTTTAAAAAAAAACAGTAAATAATAAATTGAGTCAACTTAGTGTATCTGCTAAGACCTTGGCATAGAATTTAGATGTTTATGCTAGCCCTGCTTGTTGAAACAGAAAGGTCTTCAGGGCACATCGGAAAGTGTGAAGATCTGGGATTATTCGTATTCCAGGGGGTATTTTGTTCCAAAGAGTAGGTGCCCCCACAGAGAAGGCTCTCTCCCTTGGAACTACTAGACGACATTGTTTTAATGATGGTACTATGAGTAGGCCTACTCTGTGAGAGCGTATTGGTTGGTGGGAGGTTATCGGTTGCAGCAGGTGGTCTCGTAAGTACTCAAGTCCTAAGCCATGGAGCATTTTAAAGGTAAGAACCAACACCTTGAAGCGCACTCGGAAGGCCACCGGAAGCCAGTGCAGCTGTTACATGTGATCGCCATGTTGCTCCCATCATTACTCGCGCGGCCGCATTCTGGACCAGTTGGAGCTTCCGGGTGCACTTCAAGGGGAGCCCCATGTAGGGAGCATTGCAGTAGTCAAGTCGGGAAATGACGAGGGCTTGAGTGACTGTGCGTAATGAGTCCCGGTTTAGAAAGGGAAATATGCAGAAATGTATATGTGATTTAGGAATTTTAGCAAAACCAATAGGGTTCAAGAGCTGAAAACGAACAACTTTGGTCAAAATAAGTTAGTGTTCCTATTTTGCAGAAGACGGTTCTGAAATAAGCAAGTTAACATAAAATCAATCATGCAGAAGATTCTTTGCACTAGTTCAAGAATTAGAAATCCTTGGAGATCTGCTGGAAAGAATTCAATAGATCTGAGATAGCAGATCATATCTTACCTTCTGCTTACCTCTGAGGTAGAAGACTGAAAGATAGGAAGATAGGACAAGCCTGCTTTTGGGCATTGTGGCCCCAAAACAGTCCAGAAAGGACAAGATTGAAAATAGTGGATTTTTATGGTTTGCTTGATTCATTTTTCAAGACTTACAACATAGTATAGCACCCATAGCATCCTTTTAAAGAAGGCAACATAAAAACTAAAATAAAAATAAAAATGGGCCAGTCCTGTGTTTTCAGCTGTTAGAAGTTGCATAGAGAACTCCCTTTTTGGAAGAAGACAGGCTATATAATCCTTAAAATACATAATCTGATACTAAAATTATTGCTGCTCAAGTAAATATCTAGACAGAAGGCAGGCCCTAATTCATTTTTCATTGCACAATGTCAGATTCTTCAAGAACAGGTGGTTATTATTGCAGAATTTTGTCTCTACCTTTCTTGGTAGATTAAAAGTTACTGGGTCCATTGTATACAAGGAACAAATAAAGCAATGTAGTGGCCTAGTGGTGAAGACGCTCGCCCTCCCACTTGGAAGATTGAGGATTCAATCCTAGGTCGTTGCAATCCTAGGTCCCGGGGCGCAAAGAAAAAACATTTGCTGTGAATTCTGCATAGGTGTCAGGAAGGGCACCTGGCCAGTAAAAGCTCAGCTCCATCTAATCTCCCCGATTCTGCCCAGAATTAAGGGTCATAAAAAATGAGTTATTTTTTAGTGTGAGGTGTAAATGGGGAGGGAGTAGTAAATTCACATCCTTGGTGAACAGGTCAAGGGGACTTGTATTCAGATGGCTTAAACAATTGAACAATGTTGTTACTGGAATACTAAATATTCTTCTTTATAAGTATGACTGTATTATAAGTATTACTATAGTTACACTATGCCACTATATTTGGATTGGTAAGATTCATATGGTTTTTTTTTTTTAGTTAAAAAAAAACTGCTTAGATTCACCACTCCCTCTTCCATATTTTTTTCTGAGGTTTATAAAACTGTTAAATATATAGTAGGCAAGAAAATTATTTCAAATTCCTAAAATCAATTATGTTTCACTTTCACAGCGGATCGTTGTAAAGAGGTACAGCAGATCCGAGAACAGCATCCAAACAAAATTCCAGTAAGTAAAGATTATCTATGCTTTTAAATCAATTTATATAAATCCCTGAAACATAATAAATGTCTTGTAGGTCATATGCCAGGATCATGAAGCATTTCCCTGTTTTTTTCCACACTGACCATTTGATTGTATATATTGCTAAGTTTAGGGAGTAGCTTTATAAACGTTATTTTCTTTTTAACTGAGACTTTCTGCAAACCTGTTCAATCAGAGTCACATTACAATTAAATCCAGACTTTGGGGGACAGGAAGAGTGTTACCCAAGGGTAAAATGCTCCTGATTCGGACCGGATCACCAGATCCGGTAGCGATGGAGGCGGGTGGTTCGGAGAACCAGTAGCAAAAATCCCTGCCTCACCCACACCCCCCATGCCCAGCTGAGCCACACAATTATTAGAAGCTTTTTCTTTTAATTTTTAAAAGCATTTTTTCTACAACCTCTTCGGGCGAAAAAATGCTTTTAAAAGTAAAAAAAAAAGCCTCTGATGATTGTGTGGCTCAGCTGGGATCGTCAAATGATCCAGGCCGAGTTGCCTAATCAGCAGAGGCTTTTTTCTTTTAAATGCCTCTGACAATCCAAGCTGAGTTGCCTGATCAGCAGAGGCTTCTGAAAGCATTTTTTAACAACTTCTTCGCCAAAGAGGTTGTAGAAAAAATGGTTTTAAAAGAAAAAAGAATCGCCACGCCCACCCAGTCACATTACCCCCACCACCACCAAGCCACGCCCACAGAACCGGTAGTAACAAATTTTAGATTTCACCACTGGTGTTACCCCTGCAAGTTTCTGAAATATTTTACAGAAGAGTGGTGATTGGGATGGTGCCAAGCTATGACATTTGTCTCCTCTTACCAAGGCATATCTCATGCCAAGTTAAGAACGAAAAGGAAGATGTTGCTTTTGGCCAGTCTCCTAATGGGAGTAAGAGGTTTAGGCCAACTTTACTAACTCCTGTAATAAATCACCTCTTGTGATGATAGGGAGCAAAAAGCAAAACTGCTTGTCTGTTTATTACATGAGATGAACAGAAATATTTTGCCTTCCATAAGACTTGTCCCATAGGATCTCTCTTGCATCTGATTTAATTTTTCTTTTTGAGTTTTTCCCTCCAAAAAAATTCTTTGAAACTGGAATTTTTATTGCATTATTATTCATATGTAAATATTCCATTGTTATAGTAATAACTGATTATGTATCATGTTTTGCTTATTACATTATGTTAATATATAAACATACTGGGAAGCATTAGATCCGCATAGTACAGGCTTGTCATCAATTATCCTCTCCCCCCCAACTTATTTTCCTTTATTGTTCTTAGGTAATAAAATAATTTAAGCTCCTCTTTCTTTTTTTCACTAGTCATACCCCAAAGGTTTTTGTCCAAGGCAGACAGCATGTTCTGCAAACTTTTTATTAATCAACAATTCAATTACGTGAATATTAATCAAAAACTCAGTCATATCAATATTGCACAGAGATATCATGTAGAATGTGACAGTTAAAATAAGCATCCCAGGCTCATTTCTGGGCAAAAAGAGAACAAGAAATTAATGTAAAGAGATTGTTGTCTGGATATTTAATTTTAATGCTATGCCTCACTTTAAAATTGATGATGAAATAATTAAATGTAATGATGAAATTCTCTGTGTCAGTTACCCATCGAATACAGCATTTGTGTTTCAGCCAATATATTAGATAGATGTGCCTTTGTTAATAGTATGAATCCTTCCCCCCAAAAAGTGCTCAGTAATATACAGTAGCTCTTCTCTCAAATGATTGAAACATCCCCCCCCCCGCCGCCCCCCAGCTCTCACATACTTCAGAAGCTGTTTCTGGCTGTCTTTGAAGTGCAGAGCTAAAGGGCTGTTCATGCTCATGCATGTACAGTAGAGATAGCTGGTAGCAGCTTTTGAAACAGCTGTGCCAGTTAAAAAAAAAGATGCACCTGCTTTAACAATTTGAAAATAGATGCTGTGCAATCTGAAAGCCGCCTTTCAAAAGATTTGTCAGCCCTATTGAACAAGTGGTAACTGGTTCATAATTATTTTAGAAGTATGCTTTATTTATTTATTCTCACCTTTATTATTTTTTGATAAATAACCCATAGCTGCGAACACAGCCTAATAGTCCTTCCTCCTCCTGTTTTCCCCACAACAACAACCTTGTGAGATGGATTGGGCTGAGGGAGAGTAACTGGCCCAAAGTCACCCCTTTGGCTTCCATGCCTAAACTGGGACTAGAACTCACAGTCCCCCGTTTCTAGTGTGATGCCATAACCACTACAACTACTGGCTCTTTTCTTTATTTTTGCTGCTCATTTTCAGTACTGTTTATATGTTTTACAATTTTAAATATATAAATATATAATTTCTCTGTAAACTGCTTTTAGTGTACAGTGGGCAGAATACAGTGGTACCTCAGTACCTGTCGGTAATTCGTTCTGGAAAACACGACAAATACTAAAACCGATGAGTACCGAGAAAACCACGTGACTTACCATGTGATCCATGGTTTTGGCCTGAAGAAATAGTGAGTCATGAGGCAGCCGACTTCAGCAGGTTATTCCTTGCACATTGACTATCAAGAGAAAGATGACTGCCAGGACATGTTTTCTGCTTCAATTTGTGTCAAACATCAAATTTAATGATCTTTGGAGCAGTCAAGTGCCAAGTATGACTGTACCAGTTAAGAAAAATAAAATAAATAAAAATTTCCAAACAACTTGATTTATGTTAGGGCTGTGTTGCAGATCACAATTCACATATCAGGCATTTACTGATATGTGAGTTTACTGATTTACAGTAGCACATGGTTTAATTGTTTTGAAATGGTTTTAATACTTTACCTCCTTAAGTGACTGAAAACACATTAAGAAATCTTAGAATTTTTATAAGTGTCTCTCTCACTTGCAACCCTTAGCATTCCCACCAACCTCTCCAATGCAAGGTGAATAGGAAAAGCTAAAATTATGCCTTTGTTAAAACTTGAATTGTTGTTTGAATACAGCCCTGAAGCATCTACTTCACTACCTGTTCTGACCTGGGCTCCCTTAAAAAGCAGGAAGTAGAGTCTTGGTCCTGGCAAAACCTCTTTTATTTACACAACTGTGAATTACTTTCATTCACAGTCAGCAAGGCCTGTCCAAACAGTCTTTCAGAGGAATATTTATCAACACACCTTATCTCGTTTGGCAAGCTGCCACGTAACTTGTTTCTAAACAAGGCAAAACTTGGTACAGAGTCACTAGAGTCACAGAACGAACGAATGAACTAATCGTTTCCTGCAAAAGCCCCCTCCCCGTTCGTTCCTCTTTTGCTTCCCATGGGAGGGGCCAATCATCTCCAAGGTGTGGCTTTATTCCCAAATCGACCCTGCTTTCTTAGTTTTTCTAAGAAAACTAGTTTCCTCTGTCTTCGTGTCTGGGCATGCACACACTGGGAATGGGCTCCAGCTGTTCCTCTGCCTCACTGTTGTCGAGCTCTCTCTCTCTGCCTCCGATGCAGAGCCCTCGTCCAAGCTTTCCCCAGCCCCCAGGATTGGCCCATGTTACTCCCCAACCTCCTCACTGTCCTACTCTGCTGCCAGCTCCCCTGGCCGCCGGCAGGCTACAACACTACCTTACAATCAACTGATAGAGCTAGCTTCCTCCAATTTCTTTTGTTCCAACTTAGGTAAAGAATATGTTATAAACATAGGCAATGGTTAGAAGAGACAAGCAAGAGAGCAAGAAGGGGAAAATGATAAACTTGTACAAAAAGCTTGTATTGTGATGTCACCGTGTATGTTTCATTATTTTGATGTGGGTCTGTGTGCTGTTGAATTGTATCTAAATTGAATACCTTGTCTCTAGCCTTGATTTCTTTTCTAATCACCTGATACTAAGAAGCTGACTTCCATGCAAAGAAGCTATGAAAATTTCTGGATTACAAATTAGGTTGGGGGTCTCTAGTGGTATTTGCCAGATTTTAGATCCTGATTCAAGAGCAGATACACTGGAGTTAAAAGTTTATGAGTGAATTCAGGATGAGATTCTTTTCAGCAGCTGATCTATCACAGGTTTGCTGTATTAAGTTCTCTCCAAGTGTCAGATGTCATACACCTGATACTGAGTCCAAGAAACCTGCCAATTTACATGTGAAGCAGATGTGAATAACTTGGGAGGAAAATAAGGTGAAAGTTTTTCCTGCTTCTGTTTAAAAAATTAGTCAGATTGTGCCATTTTTATTAATAATGGTAGAAGTAATAGAAATGAAGGAATTAAACCCAAATTCCACATTTAAACAAACTTCCGTACTGGAGAAGGGAAATGAGGTGAATGCTGTTGGGTGTAATTCCAGTCCAGCTTTCTTGCTAGCAAATGGTAAGGGGAGAGATAGACTAGGAATTCATTTTTAAGATTTTCTGGATGCTAAACTTGATCTGAAACTCACAACCCCAGAGGAGGTGACACCAAAGCTTCTGCTGTACTTCAAAATAATCTTCTTTAATGCCTGAAGTGATTCAGCACTATATTTTCTCCTTCTCTTATTAATTTTAGTTCCCCCACTTTCCAATTCCTGTCTCCCTGCAGGGTCTCAGGACCACACAATCTTTGCCTAAATATATGTTGGTAGACGGCTGATTTTAGAAGAATTACAGACATCTTATGCTGCCTAAAATGAGCCACAGGGGCATGGGGGGGGGGGGGGAGAGATTTTAAAAACATCACAATCTTGTCTATGCCTTTTGGAAACAGCTTTGTCACAACTTTTGCAGTCATTCACATATTTTTTTTAGTTTTGTAATTGTTTGCTTGAAAGAAATATGCCCACTTTAGGTATAAAAAGGAATAAAAATAACTGTTCTTTTTCAGTTTTGCTCATTTCTGGGGCGGACAATTCACAAACATCAAAATACAAACACGGAGGACTGAAGGTTAACACTATTGAGTCAATTGGTTAAAAAGCTGCAGCTGCTTATAGCTTAGACTTCTCTGGCTACAAGCCACATGTGCATAAAACTTAGTGGCTCCTTTTTTGGCCCTATGAATTGTTGCTATGTAGTTTCTTCTGATTTTGACCATAGGGGGCAAAGGACTGCGTCTCACACTCTCCTACTTTGGTTCTAGTTCAGAGTACGAATTCCATGGTTTCTTTTGAGAAAAGAGCAGCATCATGCAGCAATCTGCTACATATTTAGGGTTAGGTTTTATTTGGCTCCAAGTGTAACCTAGGTGTTCCTAGGAAAAGATGCCAGTGTTCTGATAATATCTTTATAGTCCTATCATGAGCCACGGTGGTGCAGTGATTAGAATGCAGTACTCCAGGCTATCTCTGCTGACTGCCAGCTGACTGCAATTTGGCAGTTTGAATCTCACCAGGTTCAGTCTTCCATCCTTCCAAGGTGGGTAAAATGTGGACCCAGATTGCTGGGGGCAATATAAACAACTTAAAGAGGCCATTGTAAAGCGGTATATACTGCTAAGTCTAAATACTATTGTTATTGCTATCTAAAAGTATGAGGTTTCCACTGCCCAAGGAAAGCTGCTTATTTGGATGCCTTTAGCGGTTCACAGAGCAAACAAAAATAAAATAACAAAAGTTATGTAATTAAGGGAATGGAAACCATAGATATTAAGCTGCATATTGTATAAACTGTATCGTTAAGCCAGAATTTTGTCAACCATTAATTGTTGAATAGTCCCACAGTTGTTTAGCCTAATATGGTTGTTTAGACATGCTAAACCATCATTCATGCACTTCAAAACACAGCAGCTAGATTTATACATCATTGTGGCTAAGCCAGAATTAAGCAGGTCATGTTATGTGTTTGTGCACGCACGCACACACACATGCATACCTTCAAATCAGTGTTGATTCTTAGCAATTACTTGGACTAGTCCTTGCAGTTTTATTGGCAAGATTTCAGAAGTGGTTTGCCATTGCTTCTTTCCTATGGCTAAGAGTGAGTGACTGGCCCAAGACCACCTGCTGGTTTTGTGCCTAAGGAGGGAGTAGAACTCAGAGTTTCCCAGTTTCCAGCCTGATGCTTTATCCACTATACCAAACTAACCAAGGCAGTGGAAAAGATCGATATATATTCCAGTATGAAAAACTGAATACTAAATAATTGTTTTTATCTCACATCCTAGTAAAACTCTCGAAGTTTTGAAATCCAGACTTCACGAAGGTTGTATATTGTCTCCCTATTCTTTGAACTTATATGGAGAATATATGAGAAACATTGTTTTGGAATAAATAAAAATTGAAGTCAAAATTGATAAAGTTTCAGCAACTTCAAATATGCTGATGACCTCAGCTGAGAGCTAGAAATTAGGAAGATTTTAAAAAAATTGATAATAAAAAGATGAAGGTTGCCCTTTCCTGTTGTGTCTGACTGTTTCTTGGCTGCGGGAGCCAGCGTTGTCTGAAGAAAATTTCCATGGTCATGTGGCCAGCATGGCTATAGGCAAAGGCACAGAGAACGCTGTTATCTTCCCACCAATTAACCTATTTAAAAGTACCTATTAATTAAATAGCACCTATTAATCTATTTGCATTTGCATGCTTTTGAACAGAAGCTCACCCCATTGTGCGGCACTTGGGTCTCAAACCTGGGCTTTCAGATTTTCAGCGGACAAGATTGGTGTCTTTAACCACTGGGTCATAGCTCCGAAAGCAGTTTTCTTGCCAATATTAAAACAAAAAACCCTCTAAGATCATCATGTCAATAGGTTGGCAGGTCAATGCAGACAGATGAAGAAATGGAAGTAGTAGCAGACCCTATTTCTTCCCAGGCTCAAAATTTCACAGCAATGGTAATTGTACAGTAGCCACCCAGCCAAAGACAGCTCTGCTTCTTAGACAGTAAGGGAGACATCGAGACAAAACATTAATATGTGACATCACACTAACAACAGTACATGTTGTCAAGGCCATGGTTTTTCCAGTTTTGATATTTAGCTGTGCAAATATGAACAAAGAAAAATATAGAATAGAATAGAATAGAATAGAATAGAATAGAATAGAAATAGAATAGAATAGAATAGAATAGAATAGAATAGAATAGAATAGAATTTTTTATTGGCCAAGTGTGATTGGACACACAAGGAAATTGTCTTGGTGCATATGCTTTCGGAGTACATAAAAGAAAAGATGCGTTCATCAAGAATCATAAGGTACAACACTTAATGATAGTGCCTCTGATACGCGATATTGAGAATACCTTAGATTACATGAAAATAAATAATTCAATATTAGATTAAGTAAAACCATATTACTCAGTAAAAGCATTAATAATGAAGCTAAAGCTTAATCCTTTTGGATACATAATGGGAAGGCAAGTGTCACTGGAGAAGACACTGCTTGGGAAAATGAGGGCCAACTGAAAAAGAAGCTTACAGGGGACAGAGAGATGGCTAGATGATCTCACTGACAGCTGAAGCGAAGTCTAAGTTTACAACTCAAAGAAGCAATTAAGAGTAACCTATGTATCCAAAGCTCCCCATACAGCCCCAATACAGGTGAGTGATTAACTGTCTCCTTTGTGTGATAATGGGGAGTGTCAAAACAAATGACAGTCCTCTTTAATATTGCACAGAATTAAGCAACTGTTTGTATATTGCCTATAGCACTTAAGTTTCCTTTTTCTTTTGAAATAAAGAGTGCAGCTGCAAGCATTATATATCTTTGGTGGCCTGATTAAGAATTGGCATATAAATAGTCAGCACCTTTGATAGGTAGGTAAGCACAGTTAATGTATATGGATTACAACAATAGACAGGAAGAATTGTGAAAAGAGCAAGATTAGCAAACAATTTAGCTGGTAAGATATAGCAAAGGAATATAAGCAGACATAGCAAAAGAAAAAGAGACAATCATTATATATTCGTTTTTTCCATAGTGAAAGGAACACAAAACTGAATATGAAGAACTAGGATATCAGTGGGAAAATAAGGCTTAAACTTGGCTTTCCATCATGAGTGTTGCTGAACAAGTGTCTGTCATTCCAAAGTGAGAAAGTACTTTCTATTTTGTGTCACATTTCCATGTGTTACTATCATGGAATACAGTTTCTGCTCCCCAATATTATGTGGCTGAAATGCAGATGTTTGAAGAAAACCCCTAAAAGCAAGGAGTTTACGTAACTAGGACCTCTGAATAACCATTAGGATTACATAGAACTAACCTGGGTGAGCATCTGCATTCATGTAGGGATTCTTCAGCCATCTATATTCAAAGGTAGACTTTGATGATCATACAGTATGCTGTCAGGCTATGGCTAGAAGTCACACTTTTGAGTAAGAAGTTGCTTATTGCAGAATTTTAATTTGGCCTTAAATATATTTTATTGTACGAGAAACAGATTTCTGCGTTTTAGTTTTATTGAGCTCATCATGGAAGTTTTTCTTTCTATGATCACACAATAAGGAAGTGCTAATAATGATAAAGCAAAATTATGATATGGCTTTGAGTTTTGGCATTCCTTTTGACTAGTCAATTTTCATAGGACAAATTCCTTGTGTGTCAAATCACACTTGGCCAATAAAGAATTCTATTCTATTCTATTCTATTCTATTCTATTCTATTCTATTCTATTCTATTCTATTCTATTCTATTCTATTCTATTCTATTCTATTCTATTCTACCCTACCCTACCCTACCTACCCTACCCTACCCTACCCTACCCTACCCTACCCTACCCTACCCTATTCTATAGTATACCATCTTTCTCTAGTAGATGCTTGAAAACCATATTAATTGCTCATTTTCTGCTGATGGAAAACAGTGCTGCTTTCCTTTTTACAGACTCTACATCATTATTAATGAGAGCTTTTACAAACTTGCTGCATTAATCAGCTCAGTAATACAGCACCTGCACCTCCTTCAAAGCACCTCCTGGGACCCTTAGATTTTTTTTTAATGTAAAATATCAAAATGTTTCAAATCTCACGAGACCACTGGATGTTGCTTATTTTGTGTTCTCATTTGAAATTTAATTAGATTTTGAGTGCGAACTTCAACATATGACAAGATAATTTGGAAGAAACCTGTTTTAAAAAGGACACGATTCTCTGTCTTAATTGTCTGGATCCGAAAAATTGTTATTTGTTCACCAATAATGTTTGCTGCCTTAAAAAGAATTGATTTTTGATTTTGTTGGGCAGGAAAGAATCTGACGGCACCACATTTCTTCCTTACTAGGTCATTATTGAGAGATACAAAGGGGAGAAGCAGCTACCTGTTCTGGATAAGACCAAATTTCTAGTTCCTGATCATGTCAATATGAGTGAATTGGTAAAAATAATCCGGTGAGTGAAATACTTCAAAGCAACTGTGATTTGCTTCTTGATATCATATGACCAAGGAGCATCTTTCTTTTTGAGTAGAATAGTGCTACAATTTGGTTGCCTATGGCAGGGATCTCCAAGCTTGGCAACTTTTAAGACTTGTGGACTTCAGCTCCCAGAATTCCTCAGCCAACCTAGTCTTAAAGTTGCCAGGTTTGGAGACCCCCAGCCTATGGTATGAAAGCAACTTCTCTTTTGTTGTGGAGCACCTTGCCTTTTTAACTATCTCCTCATTCACCCAGAAGAAGGGAACCCTGCTCAAGTCATGGAAAGATTTGGGGGGCAGAAGTTTAGAGTGGCAAGGATTAGAATGACTAAGAGTGTTCCCAAATGTACAGGCTGGTTTTAGACAATTTGAACTCAGCAAAATAAAACACATTCCCAATTACAGATGGGAAAAGTCCATAATTCTTTGCCTGCTGCTGTACAGGTATATAGATAGTTGTTTGGAAGATATTACCCACCCAAGCCAACCTCAGTTGGTTCCCAAAGAAACATTACAAGGATTATAATGACAATTCTGCCTTCCATGAAGATGGGTAGTAGACTTGGAGATTAAATAACCCTGCATTGAGGATGCAGATTTGCAGTACTTCTTATCTGCATTTGGACAAATTCACTGGCCTGCAGTTATTGAGATGCAGTTATCAAATCAGAAGTATATCAAATTTCTGCCTCTTCCCTGAAACTGCACTTTTTTGAGAATTAAAAGAGCTTCATAGCTCCATAGTCATTATTTGGATTAGCTCTTGCTGCAACTGTGTGCAAATCACACAGGATGCTTTGGAGGCCCTCCAAGATGACTAATGCGTGTGGCAGAGACACATGGACGGGTAAAGCAAGGCAGCAGATATATTTTGCAAGGCTTCCATCATTATGTGGGATAGAAATTTGAGTGCTTGAAAATGTCAGTGTCCAAAGTGGGAGTAAACTATAGAAAGAATAGGGTAAAACACCCTTGAGCAATGTGAACCTCAGCAATGCCGCTCCCTCAATCTCTGGGAATGGCAATCCCGACACATTCTGAAGGCAGCATTATTGGGAAATCAATTTCAAATAAGCATACTGTCTTCAGGATGTGTTGGGACTGCCATTCCCATTTAAATATCTTGTTAAGATGCTCTTGTTACCCTTAATACTGACCTGCTGTGTAGCCTACATTATGAAGATTTAAAAAAAAACACAAGCAAATTAGAAAAAGAAAGAAAACTTAGCAGGGCAGATTTATTAAATGGATGATAGAACATGTAATAAAATAGCACTGGAACGCCTGTTAGTTTTTAGACATTTGTGGTATTGGTGCCCCATATCTTGTTCATTTATTTAACTAGAATTAACTCTGTTTGCTCCATTATGCTCCTATTTTAACTCAGGCTCAATAATTGCCTTCTGTACCTTCTCAGGCGCCGGCTACAGCTGAATCCAACCCAGGCTTTCTTCCTATTGGTGAACCAGCACAGCATGGTGAGCGTTTCCACCCCAATCTCTGAGATCTATGAGCAAGAGAAGGATGAAGATGGCTTCCTCTACATGGTCTATGCTTCACAGGAAACCTTTGGGTATTGAGTGTCACCACCAGAGAACTAATCCCAAACTGTCGCAGCAACATCTCTGCCTCCTCACTGCACCCCACCTTGGCAAACCCTGTGCAGAGAGAAGCTTTTGGTCCAGGAGCAGCCTGGAAGCGATCGTGTTCCTCCAATTTCATAGCGCATCAGACCAAGATAATTCAGTGTGTAGGTGTGTGAGACCCATAAATCTCTGTTTGCATTGCCTCTTGTCTTTTATGATTGCTATACATTGTCTCCCATCTTGTTCACGCAGGTGTGTTTGCTCTCTCTTTCATATTATGTCTTCTTTCTTACTCCAATGCCAAATTGATGGAGCCCCTGGCAGTCTGGCAAATAAACTGTTTTCCTCACTTTTTAAAGCAAGGGATGTATTTGTTCTGCTATTAAAGGGCAGAAAATCAAAACAAAAATAAATTACTATAACTTTTATTGGGGTTTTATTGGAGTTTTCAGTTATTGATTCTTGGTGCTACACAATAGATGTAGGCATCTTTTCCAGTATTTTCCAAAAAAACATATCTTTTAAGTTTATTATCTTTAAGCACGACGGGGATTATAATTTGCTTGTATGATGTAGCCTTTAAAAAAAAATCTTATGCTTTTTTGCACTTTAAAATGTTGTAAAAGTGAGAATGAAAGTAGCTTAATTTCACAAAGGTGTCGTATTCTGTGCTGTTTCTGACAATGTTTCTATTTGCGTTTTATAAGGTTTATTTTTCAAAAGCCAGTCTTTTCCCCCCCTTTTTTTGCTCTTAATGCATGCATTTTTTCCCCCTATTTTTAATCCCATTGTGGCAAACAGGCCATATGACTCAAGGAATGTACTGATTTATATTGCTATTTTACCTGGTTATTTTATTAAAAAAACCTATGATACCAAAAAGTGTGTATGACAGAGGAAAAAGATCTGCCCAGCCAAATCTATATAATTATCTATATAAATAAAGATAAATTAAAATTCTCTTCTGATGGAAACTAGTTTCCCTGCCCTGAATTCATCATCACATTAGCATATCTCTGAAGTTAAGGGACTGGCCTTGAAAAAAAAGTGGTCCCTATATCAGGTTTTCTTTGATTTTACTGCTATGATGCAGATAGACTGCACGGCTCAGTTTAACATACAGCTAGCCCTTAATTTATGACCATTCGGTCAGCAAACACTCCAAGTTACAATGGCGCTGAATGAAATGGGATTACTACCAGTCCTCAGAGTGCCGGCTGTCTCAGCACCCCTGTGGTCTGCTTGGCAACCCATTCACACTTACAACCAGTTGCAAAGCAGTGCTGACCATGTGATCACCATTTGCAACCTTCCCCACCAGCTTCCCTAGAAACTTATTGGGGGGGGGGGGAAGGTCACAAATTGCTGAGGTAACACTCCTCCACCTGGCATCCCACCCCCAGTCCCACTAGTACTCACACTGGGCCAGCAACTTGCACACCTTCCCCAATACATGCTGTGTGTCAGGTTTCGATGTTGTCTTCAACCTGCATTTACTCTAATGCTGACACTGTGATTCTTGCAAACATGACTCACACTTCACACACACACCCTGATCCGCACTGTGCCTAACATACTCCTTGCACTCTCGCATCCCCTACCCACTCTGCACTTTTTCCGCATCCTCCCCAAACATCCCATCCACCCCCCTGCAACCGAATAGCAACAGCAGTTATATACCGATTCACAATGCTTTACAGCCCTCTCTAAGTGGTTTACAGAGTCAACATATTGCCCCCAACAATCTGGGTCTTCATTTTATCGACCTCGGAAGGACGGAAGGTTGAGTCAACCTTGAGCCAGTTACCTGTCAGTTACCTGCCTGTGGGCCTGAGACATGCAAATTCCTGCCAGTTTCCCTACTGACTTTAGTTGTGGGGAGATGGCAGGAAATGGCCTCACCTATCGACCATTTAATGACTGCAGTTGGGACTTCAGGGATTGCCATCACTTAGCAATGTAGTCACGCTTTATGACCATACTGCTTAGCAATAGAAATTCCGGTTCCAACTGCCATCATAAGTGAAGAGCTATCTGAATTTCCAGGACATCATCCCCCCCCCCCCAAAAAAAACCCTGCTTCAGACAGTTAGGTGGGGATGACTCAGTCACTGAGATGAAGGGCACCCAATTTATTGACTGAAAGGTAGACTGTTCAATGATTTGACTTTGAGTCAATGTAGTATGCTCCATCTGGGGCCCTTTGTAAGATGGTAATTTTACCACATATTTGGAGAACATTGGGTAGAAGTTGAGCTAGAACCTATCTTTAAATCTGATTCTAGACAGCAGGGCTATTTGCCAGGCACTGCCCTGCATGTGAGTTGTATTTTCTACAGCCAAGAAAGAATGCTGCTCAATAATTCTGTTCCTTTGTAAGCGAAGTGGCGCCCTTCTATTTTCATTTTCCCAATGTTGCCTGGCCAGTGATCAACTTACATGCAAGGCAGTCTACAAATTGAGCGTCTGGATGCCTTTCAGCCACATGAAAAAATAGTAATGCCACAACAACTATAAACTTCAGAATACTGAATTCTGCATACCAATCCAGATAAGTAATTACAATGTGGGGGTGGAAAAGTATCACTTAGGATATAGCCAGATAAAAATGATTACATTTAGCTGAACAGATTTTCTAAGTGTTCAGTAAACCTCCTGTAGGAATATGCAACGAACCACTGCATAGGCATACAATCCGTACTTTGTGTCCTTTGTTCAATAAATATACCAAAATATGCAGACCTCTGCATATTTACCCCTTCTCACTCAATTCATCTCCTTCATAAAGAATCTAATTTATCTAAGGCATTGACTCACTCACAATAGGATTGGTTGGTGTTGTTTATAGCATATAAAACCAGCATTTCTTTTCCAGTTCACAAAGATAATACAAAGCAGAGAAAATGCCATTGAATGGAAAAGCCATTCCACAGAAGGGCAAATGAGTTGGTACAAACATGTTTTCCCCAAAATAAGACCCTGTCTCTTATTTTTTTGAACCCTGAAATAAGCGCTTGGCCTTATTGCTATGCGCTCAAAAGCCCGACTAGGCTTATTATCGGGATGTCTTATTTTGGGGGAAACAGGGTAGTCCAAGAGAATCGCATGCTACTTTCTATGCCACCAAAAGCTTAGACTTCAGACAAGGCAACTATTTTGTCAAGCAGAATGCATTTGATAATACTAAAGCTTTCAGTTTAGTTCATATCTACTAAGGAAATTAATTATTTCCATCAATAATAGATGTCTTAAGAGTTATGGAAGACATAATGTTTGGTTGGACTGCAATGTCCTGGATATTCTGTTATGAAAAACGATAGTTCAAATTTACACCTGGGCAGAACCAGATAAAGTAGATTTGTCTCTTCTCCTGATCACCTCTTACAATCTACTCCAGAACACACCTAGGTTTATCAATCACTGCTTTGCTTTAGTAGATACTACTAGTACGGTAGCAATGGAAAACTCATGGCAGCACCATTAACTTCTCATATTGACTGAGTTCATGATGTAAGTAATTGGGGTTGTACAACATACAATCATGGTAGGGAGGGAACCTATGATTGAAACCAAAGTTAAATTCGGCTGTAAGCATGTTATGAGTATTTTCTATAGTTTAAATTATTAATCGTATTGTATGTACCCAGCCACAGTGTACTCTTATTAATATCAGTGCTGTACATTGTGTCAACAAGAGATCTGACTGGCTTTTTATGTATATATAAAAAATCCCTACTTTGTTGAGTTTGTTACAAATATCCATTGAGTCCAGCTTCCCACTTCTTACAGCACTTGCTTGCTTTTATGAATCTCACAAAAAGACATAATTTCTGGAAAAACAACTCAGCAATAATACACTCAGTCATTTCAACTGTTATAAAAAGTATAAACCTTACGGAGCTTTGGAGATCGTGAGAATGGGCTCTTTTAAGCTCTGCCTAGGCCAGCCAAGATAGCCCCTGTACCAGGAAGAAACCAAGAAAATGAGCGTTGGTACCTACCTGATACGCTCCTTCTCTGGCTGGTGGGCACGGCAGTCAGGATGGGAGGCGACACGGGTGTGAGCTGTTTAGGACCGAGTCTGCAGAGGAAACGAAGCCCCGCCTCCCTGCTCCAGGAGTCAGTTTTGAGATGAGGAATTGCATGCAGACTGGCGTGTCTAGAGGAAACAAATGAAGAGATAGAGGTAAGTGTAACCCCCCCCCCGGGAATCTTCCCAGGCCGGGGACGGCCCGAGAGGGAGGGGCTGACTGCCGTGCCCACCAGCCAGAGAAGGAGCGTATCAGGTAGGTACCAACGCTCATTCTCCTGTCAGGGTGGTCACGGCAGTCAGGATGGGACATACCCAAGCTCTGTGTCCTGTCGGGAGGGACCTGGCCGGCCCCGGACCTAGGAAGCCAGATGGACCTGCTGGAGGACTCTCCTGCCAAAGGCTGCATCCGCAGAGGCATAAGAGTCCAGTCGATAGTGCCTGATGAAGGAGTTAGCAGAGGCCCATGTGGCCGCTCGACAGATTTCCTCCACCGGAGCCCTAGTCGCCCAGGCCGCTGAAGTCGAGGCGCTTCTCGTGGAATGAGCAGTGATGCCCCGAGGGACCGGTAGAGACAGAGAGACGTAGGCCGCTGAGATGCAGGCTCGAAGCCATCTGCCCAAGGTTGCGGAAGAGATCTTGAGCCCCAGGGACGCGGGCAAAAAGGATACAAAGAAGGCATCCGTTCGTCTAATGGCAGAGGTACGAGCGATATAAACCTTGACCGCCCACCGCACATCTAACGTGTGCCAGTCGTGCTCCAGACGATGTCGTGGTCGAGGGCAAAAGTTCGGTAGAATCACCTCCTGGGACCTGTGGAATAACGAGTTCACCTTTGGGACGAAGGAAGGGTCCAGCCTGAGGACAACTCTGTCCGGGAAAAAGGTGCATAGCTCTTTGCGGACCGATAGAGAATTCATCTCTGAGATTCTTCGAGCGGAGGTGACAGCCACTAACAAGGCAACTTTCAGAGAGAGGAACCGGAGTGACACCTCCCGCAAGGGCTCGAACGGAGACTTGGTAAGGGCCGAAAGGACCTTAGGAAGGTCCCACGTCGGGAAACGCCTAACCGGAGGAGGGCGGACGTTAGTGGCACCCCGGAGGAACTGTCGAACCAGGGGATGACGAGAAATGGGATCTCTCGAACCACAGGAGAGCACGGAAGAGAGAGCCGCTACTTGGCGTCGCAGGGTGTTAGGCGAGAGGCCCGAGACAAACCCTTCGTGCAGAAACTCTAAAACCTGCTCCAAGGAAGCGGAGGTTGGTATCTGGCGGAGTTTCCGACACCATGCAGAGAAGGACCGCCAGGTAGCCTCGTAAATCCTTGTTGTGGAGTCCCTCCTGGAGGCCTGGATAAGGGAGATGACCCCTTGAGAAAGGAGAATGTTTGTCAACAGG